CAACATTATGTCCAAATCCAGTCAGTCGATTCGATGTCGTCGAAGGAAATCATTCTCAGAAGGCAATTTGAAAAATCTTCATCCAACTTATCTGACGACGCACCGTGGCAACTCATAGTAGCTCCAAAGTTCAGCTCCTTATCGTCTAAATCTTTATCTGTGCGGGCCCTTTTTTCAGTTGGGCGTTCGAAACTTGAATTCCGTTTTTGAGATTCATGAATGTCTTCTACTGTTCCAAAACCAGATTGAACAACAAGATCAGTCTCTTCTTGATCCCAAGAAATTCGACAAATGGCATAATCCGTGTTATTCACTCCCTCCAAAGAACTTCCTGCCAGTGTATATTCATGCATTATCCAACGACCCTTCTTCATATTTGTCTCGTCTTGCTTCAAATCGCCATTTAATTTGAACGTAAACGACTTCTTGACGCCAATGACTTCGCCCTTGCAATTCTTGATATCCTTCGGCACAGATTTTCCGCCCCATGTTCCACAACCGGCCACCCTAACAATATGTCTTCTACCTATCTTTTCCAACTTCGTAAACACGTAAATTTCCTTCTTCAAAACACCAACTTCAGACTCCCCAACGATTTCCCATGGATCATTGTCAGAAAAGACAATCCATGGGGTACCATTCTTTCCATATAGATTTCGTTCAAGAATTCTATTATATGGCAATGGGAATCCCATTGCTTTGGGTTTTAAGTAAAGTGTGATCAGTTTTTGATCGGTGGGTTTAAAAACGAAACTTGGTGGTATTGAGAATGCCATAGCCGAGCGTGTAAGAAGAGTTGAGCAAACTGGAAATTCTCAGAAGGGATTCGAACTCTATACGTGAGAGAGTATGTATTTCTCTGGAATCACAAACAACAATTTGCAAAGTGAAGAAGAAAAAGTTTTCTTTGAGACGAGCACATGATTTCTTCAACAAATACCTCTATTTATAGCTGAAATAATCACCTTATCATATTGCTATTGTTTTTGGTCTATGATTCTGTTTTTTGGTAACTTTTGAAAGATAGGAAGTCTCAAATGTGAAGGGACTGTGTCTGTGAGTGTGGTGTATTTATTATTACTTCAACTTTTACAAATTATTTCTTCAACGGGCTCAAATAATTTTTTAACAAATATTTTCGGTTTTCAAAAGTTAATTATTTTATGAAAGGATGACACGCAGTCAAACTTCTAGAAGATGAACCATATTTTATAGTGTGAAAAAAAAAAAAAAAAGGAGAAGAAGAAGAAGGCAATTTGGAATTTAATTAAAGTTGAATTGGAGTACTTAAAGATTAATCGAATTGTAAGTGATCCATTGGAAGTATTAATGGAGCATTTGTTAAAACTTCATAAATTTTGGAGTTAAATTCAATATTTGAAAAGTTCGGGAATTAAATTGCAAACTCTCGAAACTTGCATCAGGTAATTATTAATAATTTTGGAATGAAGGAGACTTAATTACAATTATTTGAAAATGAAAGACTAAAGTTACATGGAAACACGAGTCAAGTTGAAAAATGGATTGTTTCTATTTTCTTTTCAAACTTTTTGATGGAAATCAAGTTGAACAAAGATTTTGCCTAAATCCAACAATTAAACAAGACTTATAGGGTTTTATTATACATACTAGTCTTTGACACGTACGTTGCACGAGTTTTGTATTTATTGTATTTTTATTAACGTCAAAATTGTAGATTTTTCAAAACTGATTGAAGATTCGAAATATTTGGTGAAGTCTAATCGTTTGGTTCATTATATTCGCAGAATGCATAGAGTTTTCATTTTTTATTTTTTTCCTCATTTATTTATTTTTTATGTATTTTTTTCATATTATAAATATTTTTTTGATTTAAAATCCTTTTTAATTATTTTTTCTTTATGAAAAAACTTAATTTTTTTAATTTTGAATTTAATAATATTTATATGTTCTTTATCTAATTTCCACAACATTCTTTTGTTTAATTTGTTTTATTTTTATTATATATTTTTTTTGAAGATTGTTTTTAAAAAAAAAAATCTTCATATTATAAATAATTTTTTTTGATTTAAAATTCTTTTTTCTTCATATTATAAAAAAAAAACTAAATAATTTAATAAATTAAAGAAGAAAAATTTGCAGGCAAAAAAAAAAAAGTTATTATAAAGTTTTTTAATTAAATTGAAATAATTAAAAATAAATTTTATTTAATTAAAATTTAAAAAATGATAAAATGCAATCACTTTCAACGAGCACTCCCCCGACTAGGAGCCTTATACTTTCTTTATCTACAAATAGCACAATTCCCACCACGCGTAATCAAATAATCAATTCCAATTCCATAACGTGAATGAACTACGTCATTTTGTTAACTAAATAATAATTAATTATGTGCATGCAATGTAGCCCATATTAAATAGGGTCTTAAACACATAAAGCAAAGGAAGTTGCTTTTTGACAAAAACAAAGTTGAACACTAAGTATTAGCAGAGACCTAATCGACAATTTTCTGCACACAACTTGAATTACGAGAAGAAATTGTGGCGACCATTCATAAGCCACAAAAATGAAGTGACAACAAAATTTCTTTTAGAAGGCTACGTGATGATATGAGGCATAATTAGCCACTCCAATTATTAATCGATTACGTGAGAAATAGTTATCTGTAGTTATCTTCTCGAAAGATCAAAAAAATATCGACAGTTCACGTACTGATTAATCGTGTAATTATATTAGCCACTCCAAATTTCTTGCGTAATTACTAATAAATTATTGCACAAAAATCTAGAATTATTTTCCAATTATGTTGCCATCTCTTCCTCTTCGTTTGCATTCTTTATACACATTGTAACGAGTAATATAGTAAACTTTTGAGTTATCGTGCCCACGAGAATTTTTTTTTCTTTTACACATAATTTTATATTTCCAACTCCTATTGTTGAAAACAGAGGATTATGATTGTTTGGATTGTTTTCGTAACTATATCTATTAAATGAAAGGATCCAAATTGCACACAGAGATCGAATTGATGTTTCAAATATGGAATGAATATTAGTGTAGGACAATTTCATTTATTGATCACATTTAAGTCCTAATTCAAGATTTACAAATCTAATGTAGAGTTCGTTCGAATTCCTCTATTGTATTTAGTTCTCATTGACCTTATTTAACTAATTCAATCACATATCTCTATATGAATCAATCTTAGTTAAATACACTATTTGTTCTAAGAATTTATATAACGACCGTAATAATTAGCAAATGTGTCTCTTCATATTATACTAAATTGTCGAATTTTATTATGTGATTTATGTGATCTAAATCTAAAACGCACTTCTCGATTCGTAAAAGATTCACAAAATCATTGAATTGTTGATCAAGTAACTCAAAACATTAAATACATGAATAAAATTTTTAAAGAACTAGAATCTTGAATAAACGAACTAAAGGATCTTGAATAGATTACATTATTAGCCCTAATAAAGAGTTTAGATATTCATAATAATAGAAGGGGGAAAAATTGTATTGAATACATCATCGGGTTTTGAATTGAGATGTAAAAAAGTGGATGAATCTTGCACCAAGTTCTTTTGTTATTCCAAATATTGATTTTAAATCCTTGATTTCTTGTTTTTCTCCTTTAATTTTGCTATCTAATTCTCCAAGTTGTGGTTTTTGTTTCTCAATGTGGGGAACCCATCAAAAGTGCCTCTATTATTGTATTTATACTTCACTTAACGTTTTCCCAAATTTGAAGATGTTATGGAATTTAAACGAGCCAAAAATCTAGCCCTAGATGTATCAGGCCATGCTATATGGCGCTGGCACTACAAAGACATTGTGGATGGCTCCTCTTAGGAAAAATTCAGTACCATATCTCTTTTAATATTTTTGTCATAACTTTCTCTATCGATATCCGGTTGAGACTATTCAAATTGGATTATAAAGATAATTCAAAGGGCTATAATTTTACTAGCACTAGCCCTTTTCCACTTTAAACGTTTACTTGACAATAAATGAGTCTAGACCTCTAGATAAAAATCGAGAACATTCTTGTATGGCTAAAAATTAATTTGTAAAAATATTTTGATCATATTTCACTCATTTTACTTTCTAATTGCATCCAATCTTCAATACAGCGTGAAAATTCTTTAAGTCAAAATTCGTTAATTAGACTATCAAGTACTCAAGTTTTAGCTTGAATTATCTAGCCTTTTGGTCAATGAAGTAATATCAATTCATTTACAGATTCTTTCAAGCGTGACATTTGTAGCATAGATATACCAGATTGATAACTATTTGACATTGTGGATAGAGATGACAATTTATCCCGCCCCGATGGGTTGATGGGTCATAGGTCACGGGGCAAGGCGGGTTCGCGAGTATTTTTAAAAAAATAAATAAATAAATATATATATATATATACACATAGTATTTTTTTTTTTTTGGATATTATTTTTTCAAGTGTTTCTCTGAATATTGATGTTAATTTGCATTATTTGTTTTGAATTTTTAAATTTTGAATTTATATTTTATAATTTAATAGTATAACTCGAAATTTTGAAAATGTGTAAAAAAAAATAAAAAAATAAAAAAATTTAAATGGGCCAGTAAACGGGACAAAAAACTGCCCCGACCCCTCCCCGTTTAAGGTGGGGTGGGGGCGCGGGGCGACCGACCTGAACCCGCCCCATTGCCATCACTAATTGTGGAATTCCCGTAACTATTTTCTTCTTTCATCAATTCAATAGATCATTTTTTTACAGTGTTTATTAACTCGACAACTCAAGAACTTGTCCTTTCATACTTATCTAGTAACTTGGATGAGTTTTTTTGACACATATAAATCTATAAACGAAAAAAAAAAATATATATATATATATATAATAATAATAATAATAATAATAATAATAATAATAATAATAATAATAAAAATAAATAAATAAATAAAATAAAATAAAATAAAAAATCCCCAACTCCAGTTTCCTACATCTGGTCATCACCCATACTGTAAACTCAGAAAAAGAAAATCAAAATTGGATGATTCTTATCAACCATGATTTGAATTATCCAACAAATGGACCAAGATTTATGCCAAGGTGCTTCTTAAAAATTGGCACCTCTATAAGAAATTAGAATACAATCAGTCCATTTACAAAAACTAACAATCAATTCTAACATTTCAAACTTACATCTCTATATATTCTGAAGAAAGGATGGTCCTCAAAAGCTCCTTCAAATTAGCAAGAACATAGCGTGGCCCTGAGCTCTTCACTCCAATAAAATTCAGGAGCTGCTCTAAATCCTACAAAAAAATCATCGATTAACATAGAAAAGGTCATCGATATGGCACAAAAATAGCAATGTAATTTGTGATGAAGTCGATTGCAGATTGTGTGCAGAGATCAAAATTGGATATGAATAAATCCAATGTCATCTATAATAGGTTAGTCATAAAATTTCGTATTTAATAAAAATCATGTTGGTGGATTGAAGAAGATAAATGTTGGAATAATATTCATCACCTACTCCAGAGATCCTCTCAATAATCAAATGCATTCACAAAAAGTAGATAATATTATTACTTTTGTAACTAGAGTCCAGTAAAATCTTCTGCTTAATTTAAGTAAGAATATCCGCTAAAGGATAGGTACAGAAAAATTCAGAAGCTGAGTAATGAGCTCACACCACCATCTAGATCTAAACATCAGTAAAGGAATCAACACTCATGAGCAAAAGCACAAAAATGGGGACCGGTACAAATTTAAAAAGAAAAATTTATATGCCAAACTCTAAGCCTTGCATAACAGAAAATTTAAGTAAGATCATTAGTAGACTGTCTTATAATACTCCAAAAATTATGAATGTGTTTCAATATGGTTTGACACTAAAAAATTAAGAAGTGCTACATACCTTATTTAACAAGAACATAGCATAGGCTGCTCTTGTGAAGTCTTGCCCTTCTATAAAGAGAGGGAATTCTACCGACTTCAAACTTGTCAAACTTACTGAATAAGAGTCTGAACTGGACATTGAATGATCAATTGCAGGTGCATAATCACGTATATATGATCGAGAACCTCCTAGTCGTAAAGGGTAACGCAAAGGAACTTGTAAATAAGAAGCAATGAGTGAAATAGCCTACATAAATAACAAGCCATCATGATTAATAGACATTAAATTGCAATTAGTGCTCTGGCCTAGCCGTAAAGGGTAACGCAAAGGAACTTGTAAATAAGAAGCAATGAGTGAAACAGCCTACATAAATAACAAGCCATCATGATTAATAGAAGTTAAATTGCAATTAGTGCTCTGGCAATTAGCTAATGCCTACAGCAATGCCATAATCCAATAAAGATCATTGAAATCCAAAACAGGTGTAAACTAATTGCCAAGTTAATGACAAAAGTGATAATGTATAACAACTCCCCATTTATTTTAGATGTCCTATCACAATTCATCAAACTAAAACAGATTACGCTTGAAAAGATACATAAGTTGATAAAATGCCAGGCAAAGAGGAATAACGCACGTGTGCTATATATCCCAAGGCAGTCCAAGATCTCTTAACCTCCTTCTTATCAGTGAAGAAACTCATCTTTGTAAAAGGAATCATAGTGAGATGCAGACTTGAGATGGTCAAAGAGCCTTGATCAACAGGTTTTGATCCAGAAGGAAAACCTGCAAGTAGTGACAAGAAACAAAACTGAATAGAGATTAATCAAAATAAACCAACCAATCAAGGAATTCTAAGCTGTAATAATTATGGCAAAACCAAAACCATCAATTGCAGCTGGAATATTTTATATAAAGCAGAGTCAGCATATGATGCTTGCAGTCATGCATTGCTTATATCAACTTGGATGTGACTCCAGCATACACATATATTCAAATTGAAATCAGTGAGTAGGGAGGTAATGAGATTACAAACAATTGCAAAAATGCTGAGAACAATTCATAGAAGCCTCGACATGCAACACCTGAGATAACCAAGAAAACTATATAGAAAAATTAGCCTAACCAAGCCGAGGACGTCATCCATATAACATGACTATTAGAGATACAACCTATGAGCCACTCAGAAACTTCTAATCAATTCTTGGTGCTTGTATATAGACTTTGCAAATTTAGCAACCTCAGTGTACGAATTACCAAACAGACCCAACCCCTCTACTTTACCTATTAGAGCATGAATTTGACGGATTATTGGCTTAGAGAATTTCCCTAATTTTAAGCCTTATAAATTGCAATCTTTTAAATGCTGAGCAAAATAGACAAATTGACAACCAAAGGAGAAAAACCCCAATAAATAAGACATTTTGAATGCAATAAGAACACACTTGCAAGCCTGCACAAGTATATAGATGGTCACACATATTTATCCTTTTCTTCTTCAGTATAACATAAGATGAGACTATATCAGCAAATGCAACCAGAAACTACATATCTTAGTAATATTATTGCGACTAATGGCCTTTGGCACATAAAAAAATAACTACCAAGTTTCTAAAATTTTGGGTACCCTAGTACACACAATCATGCAGACCATGATAAAACATGCAAAGTTCTCTCCTTCAATTTTATAGAAAATAACATGACAAGAGAAAGGCAAACATGACTTCAACCCTCAACATCATTTACACTAAAATTATGGATCCAGATAAATGTAACTCAATGCGAGATAAAAGACTTAAAAAAGCTTCGAAGTTAGTTTCCTCTCCATACACGACTGGAGTAAGTGGAGAAGGCATGTTGACGCACGAGTGTTGATCTTTTTCGAGACGTTGACCCGGTTAAGAAGAAATATTTCTCTAAATGGCACTCCAGTTCAGGTGATGGGCAAGCATTTTTACCAATTCTTTTTTTTACTTTTCACTTGTATTCTTTTACAGTTTTGTATTTTTCTTCAATGTCTCATATGAGTTAGGTCATATCAACTTAGAAGACGCGAAAAAATGGTTTAACGATGTGTTGAAACCAGGGGGATGGTTTCTAGACGAAGTAAGTATGTTAACTCATTACTTGTATTATTCGATTATCTTGTATATAACTATTTATTCAACTCTCAACATGTTAACATGGCATTACATTTGTTGCGAGCTCAGGCAACCAAATATCACATGTCATTTGGTGGTTCGCGAACTATTTTGCACGTGCAATTTAATAACCTCTTGACCTTTACTATGCTTGATTTACGTGAGCGAGGAGATCATTTCAGATTCCAGTAGAGCTAATGGAGTATATCACCGGGGCAAGGCCATCATTTTGAAGGAAATGGCAGGAATATACACGTGTATATTTTCCATTATGTACTCGCAGACATTGGCTCGCAATTGAGGTAGACTTTTGCAAAGCAACAATATGTGTGTATGATCCTGATAAGGGTTGCATTATGAACGATCAACTCAAAGATGACTTGAAGGCTGCTAGTATCATTGTCCCTCTACTTTTGAAGGAAATCAACATTGATTTGGAGATAGATACTCAGGCCATAGAAAGGAGTACAAAAACAACTAAACAAGCCATTTCGTAAGTTTTTTTTTTTATTACAATTCAATATTTAGTTGTTCATATTAATTTAGTTATAGCATTTTGTTTACCATGATTTATTATCTTTCAAGGGCGATTGTCGCATGTACGTAGTAAAATATATAGAATTCTTGAGCATCAACGGTCCAATAGAACAAGTTAATGGCTTCTATATGAACAGATGGAGGGAAAAGATGGCTGCCGATATTTTTGCCCTTGATTATGAACCTTAGGACCTTTAGGTGTATTTGTATGTTTATGAGTTCTAAATGTAAATATAATTTTATAGTTTATGTTGAACGTGGAGTTTTTTTATGTTATGAATAGAAGTTTATTTTTCAGGTTGATATAGTTTACATTATGAGGGAAATAATGTCTTTTTTTTTAAACGTTGATGTTATGAATAGAAGTTTATTTTTCAGGTTGATACAGTTTACATTATGAGGGAGATAATGTCATTTCTTTTTTTTTTCAAAAATGTTGATGTTATGAATAGAAGTTTATTTTTCAGGTTGATATAGTTTACATTATGAGGGATATAATGTCGAATTTTTTTTTTAAATGTTGATGTTATGAATAGAAGTTTATTTTTTAGGTTGATATAGTTTACATTATAAGGGAGAAGTTTATTTTTCAGGTTGATATAGTTTACATTATAAGGGAGATAATGTCGATTTTCTTTTTTAAAATGTTGATGTTATGAATAGAAGTTTATTTTTCAGGTTAATAGTTTACATTATGAGGGAGATAATGTCGAATTTTTTTTTTTAAATGTTAATGTTATGAATAGAAGTTTATTTTTCAGGTTTATATAGTTTACATTATGAGGGAGATAATGTCGAATTATTTTATTTTTTTAAATGTTGGTTGTTTAATGTTGTCATTCTTCTAACTGACTATAGTCGTTTAAAAGACTTCACCCTTTTTTGAAAAGAACGATTGTAGTCATCTTCAGTCTTTTTAAATGACTACAGTCATTTTTCATTTAAGACTATAAAAGACTACAGTCGTTTCATTTATAACGACTCTAGTAATTTAAAAAAGACTACAGTCGTTTTATGAAGACGACTACAGTCGTTTAAAACGACTGTTGTCGTTTTCATAGAACGACTGTACAGTCATTTTAAACAACTGTAGTATTTTTTAAACGACCCTAGTCGTTTTCCTAAAGTGTGTAGAGTTGTTTGCACTTTTAATGACATATAAGGTGACAATCAACCTTTTAACGAACTTCATTATATGCAATTCATCGTGCTCCACTAACTTGATTGTATGCAATTCATCGTGCTCCACTAACTTGATTATATGCAATAATGTACAACGACATATAAGGTGACAATCAACATTTTAACATTATAGATCGTATTAGGTTTCAACTTATTAGCTTCAAATGAAATAAGAAGACGAACTTCATTATATGCAATTCATCGTGCTCCACTAACAATGTTCAAGTATGATGAGTTTAGAAATTTCGTTTTAATAAAGCACGACCTCGGCTGTTCCGAATAGAAAGCCGTTTTATTTCACTCATATAACTATCTGGTTTAGTTCATCAACCCAAATGGTCAATTGAATTTTTATTCAACCCTATAGAATTAAGAATTAGAATTGCTCATTTTGATTCACCAGAAAAAGAATCCAATCCGTACGAATCAATAGAAAAGGCAAATCCCTTATGATACACCGGATCCGGCTCGGTTGATGGGTTTAGTTTCTAATTATGCGACTTACAATAATGTACAACGACATATAAGCTGACAATCAACCTTTTAACATTATAGATCGTGTTTGGTTTCAACTTATTAGCTTCAAATGAAATAAGAAAACGAACTTCATTATATGCAATTCATCGTGCTCCACTAACAATGTTCAAGTATAACAGATTTAGTTTCTAAGTATGGGACTTACAATAATGTACAACGACATATAATGTGACAATCAACGTTTTAACATTATAGATCGTGTTTGATTTCTGCTTATTAGCTTCAAATGTATAGTGACATATGGGATGCGAAATGATTTGAATAAGCTAAATCAAAATGTATAACACGATTGCTGTCATGTAACACGACTGCAGTCGTTTCATATGAACGACTTTAGTCATTTCAAACGACTACGACTGTTTTCTTATAAAACGACTACGGTCGTTTTAAACGACTGGAGTCTTTTTTTTTGTTTTTAAAGGAAACTGACTGCAGTTGTTTCAATGTGGCACGTATTGTATGAAATAAACAAATATGAGAAAATTACCAAACATCATAAATCATAAATTCGACATGAATTACGACAAAAACTCACAACATAAAGCATAAATTGCAATACGTAGAAATCAATGTGTTGTTATCAAAACGACATGCTATCAAATACACAAATAATGTGCTAATCCTCTAATCTTCTATCAGCTAAAGGTATCTGACTTGTATACGTTAGCCTGTTGTGCCCAATTGCGGTACACCTACTACATTTGTGTCTTTTTGAAAACTCTTCGATAGACGCAATCTTTGTTGTTTTAGGATGTCTACCTCGTCGTCGTACGAATGGTGGCAACACATTGAGGTACCCCAAATTTTCAGAAATTTCCCAATCATTTGGCACGGGAAAAATAGTATCGCTATAAGCTACTCTCCAATATTCAACAGTATAGTACAGAGAGCAGAACGAGTAAATTGAATAGCCACTCTTCTTCGTCGCAGCTACTGCATGCTCACAGGGTAAATGTTCTAATTGATACTGCCTACAAGTACAAGTTTTTTCATCTAAGTTAACAACAAAATTTGTGGTGTCATTCCTCACATCATACATGAACTGATCGATCGGCTCGGCAACAATCCTCTTGGCTTTATCAACATTCTTACGCAATTTCTCTTCAATTATCGGTGTCAAAGTACTTGTACAGCTCTGTGCATTCGCATGCCTCTCATAAAACTATATCTGCAATCTTTTCCTAATATTCCCTATCAATGCAAGTATCGGATTCTGTCGATCTTTCTTAAACACTGAATTCAGTGACTCGGCATTGTTCGATGTTATGATATTGCAACGGGTTCCCCTGAAAGTGTGACCTTGCCCAAGTATGGAAAGGCGCTTTCACTAAATTTCCCAAGCTTTAATATCAATTCTCTTCATTTCATTCATATAATTTCCAAACTCTTCTAAAGTATATGCCTCTGCTGCTTTCTTAAAAAGTAGGAAAATCTTTGTTTGCCTAGTTACGGAGTTACCTTTTATATGATAGATGCAATGACCATGATGGGCATTTTGATAGACAACTTGAACTCCATTGATAATACTTGGATGTCGATCAGATATAACAACAAGATCTTCAGTATCCCCTGTTACTTCTTTCAATTTCATAAAAATCAAGTCCATGATGCATCATTTTCAGAATCAACTATACCCCAAGCAAGAGGATAAATTTGAATATTTGCATCTTGACAAGTAGCAACAATCAGCGTACCTTTATATTTTCCCATCAAAAATGTTCCATCAACGACAACTACTTTCCGCATTGAAGAGAGAAATCCGCGAATGCAAGGTCCAAGAGCCATAAAAAAGTACTTGAAAAGATTCTCACCATCAATCTCTAAAGACAATACTATTCCAGGATTAGTTTTAGCCAAGTTATGAGAATATAAACCCAATTTAGCATAACTATCCTCCGAGGAACCTCTTAAAATTTTCAAAGCACATTCTCGTGATTTTTGCGCCCTCTGATAACTCATGTCTATACCGAATTCCCGACGCATGTCATTAATGATGTCTGTAGGTCTATATACCGTGTTGGAATTTGGAAACTTAGACATTATATGTCTTCCAACAACCCAGGATCCTGCCTGTCTATGATCATTTTGGCGAATACTCACAGAGCAAGTATGTTCTTGTACATACTTGCGAACTTGAAAGTAATCACAATTTTTGAATTTAGTTGCTTGTAAACGTCATTTGCATTTTTCATCTATGCAAATAATTGTATAGACTTCCTTATTTGATTTCTTCACTCTAAATTCAAAGTTGTACTTCATTGCAAGCATGTGAACTTTCATCATAAGATCTGTTTTTGTGTTGAAAATTTGGCAATCTTCTAAATCTTCATCTTCGGGAATCACTTGTGATGTAAGAGTTGAAGCTACTAGGTGTTCATTTGTAAAACGATTTTCTTCTCTGTTCTTTTGAAGTATCTCAGATCCATCTGTAGAGAAAACAATAGCATTATCATTTTCAGTGATAATAACTACGTTATCGTCTCGAGCTATCTCCAATTCATCCCAATCAATAATCTCAGTCCGATCCACTTCATTGTCATTATTTGCTTGCATTTCACAATGAAGATTATCACCTTCATTTTGTACTTCACAATAAACTTCATTGTTTTCCACTTCATGAAATGAATCATCATCTTCTTCTTGTCTATGCTCGACTGAACATTTGCTTACAAGGGTTACACAAATGGGACGGTGATCTTTTTTGTTGAGAGATAGCAACCATTGCACATGCCTGTTTGAAGTAATTTTAATTGGAACTATAAGCTGACCATTTCCAGGGAGGAGAAATCTTATCTCAACTTCATGCAAAGATGAATCAACTTTGCAAAGATTTAGCACTTTACAATACAGATCATGATATGAAGTATTTGAAGATATTGGAACTCCTTCCACCATTTCATCACTCCCACTTCGTTTCCATGTCCAATTTCCTTGATCATCATTAACAAAATCACCAAAATAAAATATAGAAATCCATATTGTTGCGTCCATATCTGTAATTAGAATAGCAAAATTTTAGAATATTAGCATTTACTCATTCACAGTAATATAAAAGTTATTGAAGTCGTTTTCATGGTCATCTTAAACAACTGTAGTCGTTTTCAGTCATTTAAAATGACTACGATCATTTAAAATGACTACGATCGTTTAAACGACTATGTGGTTGTTTAAAATGACTACAGTCATTTAAAACGTCAACAATGAATTTGTAGCTAAAAAGTATACGAGATTTTGCTTTCAAAACTACTTGAGATCGACAAATACATTCAAAGAATTAAATAAACACAAATTACAATGAATATATGTAAAAAATAGTAAAAAAAAAAAAAGGATTCATAAAACATTAAAAGTGAAAATAATATCTTACCGACATAAAATGCATAAATGTAAGGATTTCTTCTTTGATATGCTTCTTTATACTTCAAGTAAAACTAGATTGAAAGGAAAAAAGAAGAATAAAGAAGAAGAAGTAGAAGATTATGGAAGAAGAAGAGGAGGAGGGGAAATCTGAAATTCCATAGAATAACAAATGAAACTAACGGTTATAATTTTTATTTGAAAAATGGGTATTATAGTCATTATACACTAAGGGCATTTGGGATATTTCAATCATATGACAAGGATAATTTGGACATTTTAACCTAAAAAAGGCCTCAAAAACATTTTTATCATAAGTTAGGCCTCAAAAAGTTTTACATCCCTTGACTAGGCCTTTTGTAAAAATACCCCAATTTTTTTCCCCAAATTATTGATCTAGTTGTTTTAGAAAGACTCTAGTCTTTTTAAATGACTCCAGTCATTTTATTTTAAAGAGGACTATGATCTTTTAAACGATTAGAATTGTTTTCCTTAAACGATTAGAGTTGTTTTCCTTAAACGACTTTAGTCGATTAAAACGACTGGAGTCATTTTGAAAGTCTTGTCTCTTTCTATGAATTTGTGATAAAATTTGACATCTATTTCTTCAACATTCAATGTATTTCGTTTAAATATGTATATGAAGACGAATTTCGCTATTTACAATTTATCATGCTTCACTACACGTTGTTCAAGTGTATCATAATCGATTTTTAAGTATACAACTTACAGATGATTATGATAATTTAGCCATCATGTATAATAAAAGAGGAGATGTCAATAAAATTTTTTACCGTGTTTGAATAAAATCTATTTCGTTTATAAACATATAGAATTACGAACTTCGTTATACACAATTCATCCTCCTTTAATATACAATATTCAAGTATAGCATTTAGTTTTTTAAGTATACGACTAACAATTAATTTATTAAGTTAGATCATCATGTCTAATGAAAAATGAAATGTCAATTAAACTTCTAACATTTTTTTACCATTCTTGATTTCAACCTATTTTGTTTAAAAACATATAGGAGGACGAACTTCGTTATATACAAATTATCGTATTTTACGATTTACAATTAATTGCAATAAGTTAAATTATCATGTATAATAAAAGCCGAAATATCAATCAAACTTCTAATATTTTAGACCTTGTATGATTTCATCTATTTCATTTAGAAACATCTAGGGCGGTGAACTTCGTTATATATAACTCATTGTGCTTCACTATACATATATTCAAGTATATTGTGTTCGATTTTTAAGTATAAGACTTACAATTAATTTTGTTAAGTTAAACCATCATTTATGATGAAAACTGAGATGTCAATTGAACTTCTAGCATTTTAGATCGTGCTTGATTCCAACCTATTTCATTTAAAAACGTATAGAAAAACAAACTTCATTATATATAATTCGTC